CCTACCCAGATGAGCTTCTTTGACCGGTTTCTGAGCTGGGTGAGAAGCTTTTACAGAGTGACTGGTTTTGTTGAAGCTTGCTTTGCATCTACAAAATAAACTTCACGTTTGTTATAAGGATTTATTAGAATAGTATGTGAGCATACAGAATAAAAAGCTGTCAACTAGTTGCTCTGAAGGGTGCGCAGGGAAGCATGTACATAACCGAAATCAAAACGAGATTAAGCAATGCCGAGAACTTTTCCAGTTTACTGTCCTTTCTGTTTAGCTAGATAGAGATTATTCTTCGTTACCTGACCATCCCTCTTTGGAAAAAGTTTATGACTTTTCCCATTCTGCTTTTCCATAAGTATGTCGAATAGGCGAACCGCCACAAAGGCATTGTCCTCTGATCGGACAATGAATCGATGTCTATCCAGTCCAGCTAAGCTTTTCAACATTCCGGTGGGGCTATTAAGTAAAAGGGTGGTTTGGGAGGATAAAACCACTGCCTTGTTGATCGACTGTTCACTACAATTCATTGTATAGGCCACATACGCATTCAAAACGCCGCCACGATTTTTATTGGAAGTCGAATGCAATGCGCAATCCAAGAAAGGGTTGGGCCATGTTGTAGACTTTCACACTCTCACCTTTCTAGTAGCATTACCCTACCTTCAACATAGCCTTTATTCATACTCTTCCCACATGGTCGCTTTATGTTTGAAAATACGGGAAGAAATGAAAAAGTGACATTTTGTTAAAAAAACCTTCGACTGGTAGAGTAGAGTCGTATCGTTTAGTGCAGTTGTACTTTAGTAAACAGTCAAAGAGGAGAGACGCATTCATTGTAAATACAAAAACATAAAAAAATGATTCTGGGCACTTTTCAGGAATCCAAGGCAGAGAAAAAAAGCAAAAAAGACATTCTGTTATCAAAAAAGATCTGCTGTGTAGGAGTAATACAAGGTAACATCAATCAATAAAATTAATCAATTAGCATAATCATGTTGAAGCCACTAACCTTGTTCTCAATTTAAATTAGAGAAAAGAAAGGAACTGTAGCTCGATAATAATAGAAGCGAAGACGCAATCCCAGAAAGAATGGGTTTTGAGCAAAAAATAAACGAATTTCTGGAGTTCTGCTAAGTTTGAATACGGTAAAAAGCCACCAAGGATTACAAAAAAGACGAAATTTAAAAAAAAAAATTAGAAAAATTCAGTAATTGGCACATGAGGACACGTTTTGGGTAATATGGCCATTAGTTGTATAGAATTGGTGTACAAACTAGAGGCTCAGCGGAAAAAAAAGTCCAAAATCCGATGAAATAACTGAATCAGAGCAGTGTGTAGGAAAGACCTTCTTGTTTGGATGATTCCTTTGAGCTGTTTAATGGAATAGAATGGCAGTAATGTCAAGATCAAAAGGAAGGCAGTCGGTCGACTTTTGAGAAATAGCCTAATCGATGTCAGACTCAACCTCAGGCTCGGGTTTAGGCTTAGGCTTAGGCTGGCTGCGGCAACAATGTAGTCGTCCACTGGATATGGCCCATCTCCTCGACAATTCTATAAAGTAAAGTGGGGTAAAACGAAGGCTGAAGGTTTCGGTTATGTACCCAAATAGACCAAATACAACTTCCCGTCCTTCTTACCCTGGATTGGGTGAAGGTTTTCCATCAAAGAACTGAAATATTACTGAAGATAGGCCGTAGTAGTATGGAGAGGGATTACAGATAGCAGAATGAAAGCTTCTAAAGACTAAGTAGACGGGGTGTCCAACACTAGGCTGGATTCCAGGCTCATATTCTGGACAGGATTAGATAGCGGCAAGGTAGAAGCGTTATTTAAGAATGCCAAAAATATACAAGCAAATTCAATGTTGCCATTACGAATGGGTTGCTGTTCGTTTAGGGGCAGATAGCCCGGATACATTCGTTTCTACAAAGCTCTTCACAGTGTTCGTTAGGATTGTTGACACATTGCTTCTTGCATGATCTAGCACATTCCACAGGGCAACTCGGTGTCGACGACTTGAACCTGAAAGTCAGATTCGTTACTGAAGGTGGCCTTTTTTGTGAGTATGGAAAGCAGAAAATTCTTGAATTCCTACTGTCAATCGTGATTTTTTCAGATCTTGTATTCAAAAGTTGGATGGTCCAATAAATTTGAGTCTGTAAACTACTGGTCGGCTATATAAGCGTAACTTCGGAACGTACCGTAACGTCGTAGACGTCGTTGTGTCTGGTTCCAAAATGATGTTCACCTTGAGGGGAAGTGTGGTCGTTTCGAGTGATGGTGATGGTGAGAGTTCAGTAACCTTCACCGGAGGTGGAGTCAACGATAGTGGCTCTATCATTGGCGTTACAACAGGCGGCGTCAGCTCTAAGGGCTTTGTCACTGGAGCAGGTAGGATAATCGAGTTGTTATGGAAAAGTTCAGCAGAGTTTCGTTGAATCTGAAACCAACTCTTATAATAGTCGGAAGATGACCTTCAGATGGATCCTGAGAGTACCTGAGGAGAGGAGCATGCGCGATCACATTGAGGAGCACAAGTGTCCATACAAGGACTAGGAGATGTCTGACTCTTACAAGCTAATTGGCACACAGACTGGCATTCGGACGAGCATCTGAAAAGCGTCTCCTAGCGGAATCAAGAAGATACATGTGCTGAAGAACTAGAAAAGGTACCTCTGCTGAGGATCCAATCGAACGGGATAGGTCGACACATCCTTAGCTGTCATTTGGGATGGTTCTGATGGGGTGCAGACCTATACGAGCAAGTTTGGATGAATCTCAAAACGCTGAAGTAGACGAGTCAGTCTTACTTGGACGCATGTGGCATTACAGAAGGCACCACATCCTTCAGGTGGTGGGGGCGTCCGTTGGGTACAACTCTGCAGACAACCCATGCTGCACTGTTGTAGGCATTCAGGGGAAATCGGCTGAGTTAGATGAGTTCTGGCAACAGGGGATTCGTTGTCAGGAGCTAGCTGAAAATGTCGACGAATAGGGAGCTATAAATGATGGGCTAACTTGGATTGGAAATTTCCTTTGTTATACAAATGGTTTTCCTTGAGGTCTCACCTGAATATTGATTTTCAGGGGCACTTCAGTGGTCAGAAGTGTTGGCGTAGGTAACGTGGTTGTTGTTGTTGCTGCTGTTGCTGTTGTTGCTGATATTGTTGTTGGGTTTTGAGCAGTCACTGTCACTGCTGGCCCTCCTGGACAGAGTTCTGCACACACCGTATCACAGGTGTTGCGGCATTCGGCGGAGGAAATTGTCGGGTTGCACGATGACTGACAGGCTTGGCTACAGGTGGGTAAGCAACCGGACGTCACTTCGATTTTGATTTGTGCCTGAATACAAGGTGTTCGTAAGCTCTACGCCTGGTATGGTACAGTGTGCTGCTCGGGAACTTACCTGCGTAGGTTTCACCGTTGTCGATAATTGATTACAGACTTTCCCACATGACGCCTGGCAGGATGACGAACACTGGGCAGTACTGTATCGTTGTGACAGACAAGCCGAACTGCACTGAAAACACACAATTTCAAAAACATTAAAATCTACTTGAAATCTTGAATACGGTAGACTATACAGTAATGCCATAAAAGACGTAGAAGCGCAGGGGACGGTGATTTCTGGGTTCAGGAGGTGAAGATTACTAGGGTTTGTACAACCAGGCTGTAAAGGTCATACAGCTCCGCCCACTTATGTCAGCTCCGCCTTTGTTGAGGAGTTACAACCAATTGTGCGAGAAAACGACATGAATAAAGATAAAGTCGAAAAAAAGAGCAAGTTGAGCTGTCGAGAAACTGCCCCTAATGTCAAAGGCGATCTCCATAGCGACCTCCATGGAACTTTCCAAGACTTTAATCACCGGTAGCCTCGTTCCAGTCTTTTGGGGAACTTTGAAGGCATTCAAGGTAAATTTGTTACCTGTCATGCCCCCGAGACAAGCAGTCCAGTTAATTTTGGAACCATATGGATAAATCCTAACACTACTCCCTCTTCATCATGTAGACTCCCGAATTATCACATCCAAAGTCTTTGAATAGTAGGAAAACAACCTTATTGTTGCAATCGTTCGTACAGCCAGGACCTCCTTGAGGAGTAATGACGACAGGTGGTATTCGAGAGGTAGCAGGTGCCGTCCATGAGCTAGACGTTGGATGGTTCCTGTAATACAGAGAGAGGGGTTACTTCAATACATAGCAACTTTTGAAATCCTCTGTCTGGATGAAGTGATCAAACAATGGATTAGGTAAATAACGATAATAATACCGGCAAGCAACGGAGCAGGTTCTTGAACAGGTCATCTGACATAAAAATGGCATCGAAGTCGATCGACAGGCATTGACGCATGAACGTTGACACGGTAAGGTACACGCTGAAGACGTTGTTGGGCATGCACAGGGCCTGAATGGGTATAATTAAAGCGATGAACTGGTGGTGTTTACTGACCTTCGTGTGTTTACTTAGAGATGACCAAACGGCCAGAAAGACACCTAAGGAACAGCAAAGTTCTAAGTTAGACCTATTTAACCAACCTAAGTGTATTACATGAGCATATCTGGCTGTTCTGGGCCGGTGCGCATGAACACGAGTAAGGTTGCTGAAGTCCGTAACAGTTGCATTGACGGCGCACTCGAGACGCATCGGCTTGGAAAGTCTGGAAAAAAAGTTTTTTTAGTGCTCGGACGGCGATACTTGGACAAAACCTTAGTTGTTTTCCACGTTTTCTATTCAACCTGGGTGGATAAGAAGTGACAGGTGGCGCACTATCACACGAATGGTCCGGGGAATGAATCCAGGACTGAACCTGCTCAGGCTACGCAAACCTTCCAACTCTCAATGGAAGGCTTGCTTGGCCATTCCGTTAGTATCAGGCCCGCCTGGGAGGGTAAAAGCACTGATTTGTACATCTTCAGACCATCAGAAGTCATGGTGTAGGGCATGAACGCAATCGAACGCCACGACGGTTTTGCAAGCAAGTTGAATGCAGTGGCGCAATCCACCAATGATATCGATCCTAGCCAAAAAGCTTTGCCCCTGACCCCTCATAGTTCAGCCTACTTTTCCCTACGTTAAAGGGAAAACTAGCATCAGTATGGCATCTGTCGGGCTCTAAAGGATCCCACCTTTTAAGCATTAGAGAGCAATCACTATATTAAGAATCTGGAGAGGTCAAATATGTCACAACTCACCTGGTAAACAGTAGCAAGAAGTAAAAGCACAAGACTGATGCAGTTCATTGTTGTTGACGACAGGTGCGAAATGCTACGAAACGGCTCAAAAAGGTGGATCGACGAGGAAGACGATGCGATGATAATCAAATATTTACTGAAAAACGTAGGAAGCTCTCGATAGTGTCCGGTTCTAATATTAGATAGACGGATTCGACGCTCTAATAAGACATTAATCAAAGACAAGAGGAGAATCGTGCCATTAGTTCATAAGGAGGAGAAATAAACGGCAATCTTGTGTTCAACCCATGGAAATGAAAGCGGAGAAAGCGCCAATAAATAAAGTCGACAAATATTACTGGGCACGAACTGGCCCAAGTGGGTGAGGGTTCAGTTGACGAAAAGTTATAGGCGGCTTCCGAATTAAATGCGTAGTGTCTGTAAGATCTGTTTCAACGTCGTCGTGCTTGGACTGAAAGACGACTAAAGCAGCACTTCCTTGACATCTTCCACCAAAACTAGAAATCAGTTGGCCTTCATCCCTACCAAGCATATCATAAGAGAAAATGACGTCAACCCACCAGAAAGGTGAACCCCGTATCCATGTAAGAGGAATAAAAGAAGAAGATGATGAAGAAGGCTTCCAATTCGAATGTACTGGAAAGGAATTCGCCTTCCCTTCAACCTCTTCCTCTTCTCCATGTTCTTTTTGTGTAAGAGAACAGCTGTTTGAAAAAACTAATGACTCTCCTTCAAAAAAATCACCCTAGATTTACTTTTTACCTACGCCAGACTGACAATGAGTTCGACCACACCCAATTTACACAAGACATGGAATAGACGTGATCAACACCATTGCTTTCACAGTCAAACTTTAGATCAGTTGCCTACCGTAGTTTCTGCCTTAGCAACAACTTTTGGAATTCTTAGTCTGAGAAACGCCATTCATTTTTTTCAATCTGAAGTGACGCGTCCATTGCGTTTCCTTCAGGCTATAATTCCCCATTTGTTTTAATTTTAAGTAGGTATAAGTAATGAATATTCTAAATTATTTAGAAAGAAGATTGGAAACTTCATCATGAAAGGCTATTCAGCTATCGAAGCACTACTGCTGGAATACTTGAAAATTTCTGATGAGATCTGGAAAGGAAAAAAACGGTAATGCGTGAGTCAAGCATAAGAATATCATTGGGAAAGCAGGCTGCAGCATCCAAATCTCTAGGGACTTTTGAATTTGCAAGTGATTACGTAGATCTATTATTCAGTAAAGTGAGTAAGCAGTCAACGGAATAGACGGATTGGAAGAGCAAAGGAAGGGAAATTCTTTGAGACCAGGTAGCAAAATATTTTTGAGTGGCTGGGATTCTTAGCAGCTCCCTTTTTGTTTAGGAACGAAGCAAACAATTATCTAAGAATTCGAAGGTAGTCAAGAGGGTCACTACTACTATTTACTCAATATTTTTAGGGTTTCTGTGATAGGGCTCGAATGTGATAACCAACTAAAATCAATTAAATCACCCTCTATTGTATGCTTATAAGATCAGGTTCCCATTTGTGTCTCTGTTTCCGTTTGAACTTATGGTTGGATCGTTGCGTACCCCCTATCGGTCGAACGCTTCATCGATGGGGCAGAGCACCAGCTAGAGTCCCCATGGTTTTACCAGTTCTTCTGAATTGTTCCTTTTGAATGGGTTTGCGGGGTCCAGCTAGCGACAACTTGGGACGATCTGATGGGTGAATCCATTTGGATATCTATTGCCAAGGTCTCGATAAAAGACTTAGAGAATATTAGATGAGAGGCAGAGTTAGGCACGAAGACTGACTAGAAGCAAGTGCACAGACTGAACCGACCAAGTGGGTCGGTCGTGAGACAGTGCGAGTACAAATCACTGTCGCTGCTGTTGAAGAGTACGAGTTTCTAGACCACTATTTACTCGAATGGATTAGCGGCTGCTCCCAAACACTCCCACGTACTGACTCATATCGTTTTTACCCAGTAGGTTTTGGAGGCGTGTGTACATCATTTGACAACCACTTGTTACACAAGCTAGAACATCTCTATGACAACATTTCAAAAAATTACGGTGCACCTACCACTTTGTATACTATTTGGTTTTACTCTTACACCCACCTATATTATTCCTACAAGACGGACCCACAGGAAAATTCTTCCCCAAGTCACAAAATTCCTCGACGATCAGTCGTCTGTGAAATTCCAGAGGTGAAAGAAGTAATCAGAGTCCTCTGAGCGCGAGTTTTTCGACAGAGATTTTACTCCGGAGGAGATTAGGTTGCAAAAACTGCCGATTACTACTCACTAGAATGTTTACTGAGATTTACTACTAGTTCAAGCTCAAAAAAGGTCTACCCGAACCACCAGGAAAACAAAGCTGAGTGAATTCCTATTCTGCTTTTTCAAAATTTTCCGATTTGAACATCTCGGTGAATTAAGCAGAATGAGCAGCAGCATCTCTATGTCCTCAGTCCTGTAATCTGAGCTGCTAATGTTGGTGTTCGCAAAAGGGCAAGACCTAAGAATTTGGCTCTTACTCAAATGAAAATTAGAGAAAAACCTCCTCGTCCCACTCGAGAAAGGGCTCCTCCCTTCTCGTATGTTGACGTTGCTGCTTCTCAAGAAACACTTGATAGGAGTGAAAACCAACTAAGTTCAGGTCCTCATGCAAGATATTAGGAAAGCAGTGTTTCGGACAGCCATTAGGCCCTTCTGCGGGTACACAATCTTACCCCAAGAGCACCTCTTACACATGTGGTCACAAACAAAATTGCCCTTTTATGTTTGATGTATCACGTTTCAATAAAAATGAAATGCAGTAGTTATTCAGACGATAGAACAAGTTAGTTTATTAGAAAGAGATTGGGGCGGGAGATGAGGAGGTTTGCTGTCAGGTTCAACCATGCTGGCTCTATAGAACGAGTACGATCAAAAGCACAGTTCACGATATTTTGAGATACCTGGTTCAAGTGAAATAATGAGAGCTATGCAAGAGAATGGAGCAAGGTGGCTAAGAAAATGCGAAATTCGGTGGATTTTGAGTCAAAGGCTTCAAAATATTAGGAATAACGGTTCAGAAAGGTTGTCAGTTGCGTGTTCCTGTGTAGAGCTGTCTACAGCTAGTTAAGAATGACGAAAATCGCTTTCCAATGTCGCCTTTGGTCATAACTTGTTGCTTGAATTCCAACATGTGTTAAATTGCGAATGGTGGGCCTTGACAGGGACGTCATACAGGCCACTTTTATGTGTGCACGTCGACAAGCCGATTCCGAACCCTTACTATTCCCTGTGCACTAGCTAAGTCGTTCTTGTACCTAGAGTGTCCCACGTGCTATCCCAGGTAGCCACAGAATCATTCTAGAGGGAAGTATCGGATCCCAAAGTGTTTTGGTTGTTGTCTTGGGGGAAATGAGTTTCCTTAGCACCGATTGACAACTACAATTCACTACACTGATAAGAATTCTATTCAGACGCATACAAATTTCTGGTTGTTCAGTAGGGGGAGAATTGAAATAGGACTAAGATAGAACAACAGTCGGCCGACTGGCCATTTATGTTGCACAGGGAGCATCGGAAACATCACTAACAACGCACTCACAGAGACTGACACCGATATGATGGAGAGTAAGGGGGAGGCAACACTGAAATGTTGCGTGTCTGAAGGACTCAACAAGCACAACTGAGTGGAGTTTAAAGGCGATCGGACATGTGAGCCCAAAACTGGATGCTCAAACGGGAGAGGCTGTCCTTGCTAGTTTTTTCGTGGTTAATCTGATTTGAGGTTAACCAACAGAACGTTCCTGGAAATGTTTTCTCACAGCACTATGAAGAATTTGAGTGGTCATCAGCAGAAGAACTCCCACGGATTATCCCTGTGAGAAACCTTGAAGTGATTTTAACAAGAAACAGCGCTGTAGTTCTGAAGAATCTTACTTTAATCTGGTTGTTCGCAAACAATGAATAGACTTACATCTAAAAAGCTCCCAAAAACCGCTAGAAATTGTTAAGAAATCAAGTATGTTTATTTGGAAAATCTTAAGAAGCTTTCAAAATCTCAAACTACTTTTCGAGTATCAGAAAAACTTCAAAAATCTCATAAGAATGGCTAGTTATTGGCAAAACTCTTGGACAAGCTCAAGACACGAACCAGTTAGTTGTGCTTTCCGGATACCGTGAGAAATACAAAAGTTCCCAGGCTTCCTCAAACAATCTAGATCTTCTTATTAACAAGTATAGCGAGATTACCAAAAAAAGTTTCTCAGTTGGTTTTTCTCGAAAATGAACAGAATTTTGAAGTGGACCAAATTTTTTTCAACAACCACTGAATGGCTGTTTCAATTGCGATTGCTTTGAGAAAGGTCTGTTTCCATTCAAGTGTTTCAGAGAAATTGTGAAGTTACAGGGTTCCCTAGGGTTTTTTGGAAAATGATTGTGGCTCCCTATGATTACTACGTAGGCCT